AAAGTTAGGAAACATCAAATTGCAGGCATAACCACGCATTAAGTAAAAGTCAACTGAGTAGCACAAATAGAAGTGGTTAAAGATCAGAGTGAAAGAATGGCTCACAGTTCGGGCATTCCTTTCTGGTTCATTTCAGCTACTGGAATGCAAAGAAGCCCCAGAGCATATTTTTTACTAATTTGTAAAATTGTTTATTGGCAAAAGCATTATGCCTGCTGAGAGCATGTTGCTTTAGCTCTTCTCACAAATTTACTTGAATTATTTAGTGTTTGAAAGGGGCCATTTGACAAAAACATTCAGGATATGAAGGTTTCTTTGAAGTATGTATGAGGGTGAGGTTCTGTCCTACCTCAAGTGATTTCATGTGAGTGACTTGTGGTCCAGGGCTAATAGGCAGCTTGTAGTCTCCAGAATCCCCTAGATCAGGAATGTCAAACTTGTGTCATCATGTCATCATCACATGACGTATCACGACTTTCCCCCCCCTTTGCTAAACCGGGGGTGGGCATGGCCAGCGCATGACACATCTGCCCCACGGGCTGTGAGTTTGACACCCTTGCCCTAGATGGTGCCATCAATCCAGCATGAAAAATCAGGCAAGTTCTAGCAGCATTTGGGGGAAGGCTTTGTTTTGCCCCATAGCTGCTAAATGGATATGACAAATCTCTTTAAGGCTTAAAAGTACTTATTTAGATCTTCACATTTTCCAAATTTCAACAAACAAATAAACAATTGTGCAATTGTGTCACCCACAATGTTGTCAGAATATCTCTGCAAAATTCAGGTTGAAGCACATCACAAAGCAGAGATCCCATATGGGAAAAACAAAATCTGCCATTCTATTCTACACGTTGAGAAGTACAAAAATGCAGAGACCAGGGTGAAATTTCACCCTAGATTACTGGACATCTGTCCTTCAATATAATAAGCAGGAAATAGGTATGAAATTGTTTGAAGCAGAAGCTTCTCCAAAACATAATTTGTAAGTTTTATGTTAAGTAGTTTTCAATACCTAGAGGTTAATAAGTGAAGTGGCTACCACTGATGATCAACACAACTTGGTGTATAATTTTAGCATTGGATCAATCTCTAAATGACCATAGGTAAATAAAATAATGGCATTAAGCATGTTCAGTAAGGCTAGTGAGAATGTGTATTATTGACTGTCAAACTGGAAGAGCGAATGAAAGAGGCTAAGGAATCAAAACCAACTGCTGTCCTTTGAATTAAGTAACTTCACTAATAAGATATATCTACAATGCAGTTTTCATTTCATGTAACAAAAAAGATCATGAAATGCTTTATACACAAAATGTTAAGCATGTTTACTCAAATTAAGAATTAATGGGCAAATTAAAAAATGTTGGAATAATTGATTCAACCTAGAGAGTAGAATATTATATGCAAAGTGAATGATTGTCTTTACAAGGCAAAGTACTGAGATAAACAGTTTTTTTCTTCAGCTGTCTCCAGACTATTACTTTTTCATTAATAGGATTTGAAGTCACCTATAATTATAATGCTTAAAATTAGTTCATTGGTGGTTATTGGAAGAATGAGAAACAAATAAGTAACCCTCTTTTGTGATATTTTTTTTTAAAAAACCAGATCCTTAGTTTCATTACCACATCAGAACATAGATTTTTTATATTTTCAAATTTATAGGATTTATACACATAATTGACTAGATCATCTTACTCCATTTGCACCAAATAAGTGCTATTTCAAGGTTTGGTTGGTTGGGGGTATTTTTCCTGAAGTGCAATATTTATTTATTTGGCTTTAACAAGACACATTTGTTTCTTGTGCACAGCACTGGTATTTTAAGTAGGATGAATTCAAGAGTCATTATTTTTTTGTTTAAAACTTGTAAGACTTTGCACAGGTGTGCTAGTATTGTACTGTATAGCATCACATACTTGAGTTTTGGAAATAAAGACATTGTTTCAGAATCCTTTGAGTTACTCATATGTGATTTATACATTTGGTGTTTGTTCATATAATAGCAATTCCTGTAGAGAACACATTTAGAATAGAAGAATAGAGTAGAATAGAATAGAAACTTCAGTGTCACTTTAAATGTACCCTAATCAGCATACATTAAAATGAAATTTCATTGCATTGCATTCAGCTCTCAAATCATTAGATAACCATTATGCTTATATCCACATACACAGACATGTATGACACAGAGAAATTTTAGTATGAACATACTAAGATCTTAATTCTGCCAGATTCTGCTTTATTAGCATAGAATAAACACTGAAGTTTACAATTGTTCTGTCTTCATAGATAGGAGCCTTGCCCATAAACCGACAAGGAAGCAAAAAATGATGATTATTAATTTTCAGACTTCCTTTGTGTTTTAAAGAACATTTTGTTGTCTGAGGCAAAGCAAATGGTACCTCCTTCCACAGGATACACCATATCTAAGGCAATTTTGGAAAAGAGGTCAGAAAATTGAGCAAACATTACTTTTGATCCCTCCCTGATCAAAATTACTTTGACTTAATGCATTTGGCAAATGATATGATTAAATGTTGCTCAATTAGAACTCCCTCAACTAGAATGGTGAAAGAAGCTGGGATTTGTGGTTAAATAACCCCTGGAAGCATTGTTTCCCCAGTCTTAAGCTACATAATGGTATCAAATACTAATAGTTAAAGTTGATAGGACTCCCAAATTTTAGAAATTTTAGAATGTGGTCAAGTAGCATAGTGTGGAGAACAGACTGTCTGGTAAGAGACACATAAAATAGATTTTTTAGCACACCTGTCTATTGAAAAATAACAAAAATATTAATTATCTAACTTAAATATAGCTAAAATACATATAATTCTATTGATAACAGATAGGGTATTAAAACAGATGGGACTTGAGAAATTAAAAGCTCATCCTAGGTACAGATTTTGGGCTTCACAAGAAATGGAGGATCTCTTCTTTGGCAATTTCTTAATTCTGGGAGGAACAACTAAAACTGGCGTATACAAGTATGTGTATTTAATTTGGATGTTTTTAGTGTTTTATGGTTTTAAAATGTTTTAGATTTTTAATTGTCACATATTTTTAAAATTGTAAGCCACTCAGAGCCATTGTCAGAGATGGGTGGCTACAGAAATTGGTTGGTTGGTTGATTGGTTGATTGGTTGGTTAAATGAATGAATGAATATCATCAATGCAGTTTCCTAAGTATATATTTCCCCCTTTTTGGAATCTGCACAATTGACAGGCCTATTTGGGGGGAGGGGTTAAATCTGAAGACCAACTTATATGGTGGGAAATAGTAAGTAATGTAGCATGCATATCTGGTGCTCACTAGGTCAGGGTATGTTGGTTTAAACTTTAGAGTATCCTGACGTTTCCCCACCCATACTGCTGCCAGTAATCTTCCTCATTGGCTTTGTAGGGTCTTGGCTGCTGGAAATTGTAGCAAGTATCATCTACAGTACACAACTATAATTTTCCCATCTATTTTAAAGTTTCTTATTTATGCTTTCTGTCTCAGTAGATAGGGCATTCAGAAAAAAGGTAAGTAGGGTTCTTCCTGTTTGGCAGACTAGCTGTATGTTAAGCTAGAAAGTCAAAAAGACTTCCAGCATCAAACAATGGAAAACCACTTCCGTATTCTTGTTAAGAGTACAACATGTAGGTTTCATGCAGGCCCTTGGCCAGTAGTTCTTAAAACTAGAGGTAGTTAGCTCTAAGGCAGGGGTGTCAAACTCGATTTCATTGAGGGTCGCATCATGGTTGTGTTTGACCTTGGGGGGCCATGGTGGGCGTGGCCATGATGGGCATGGCCAAGTCAACATCACTCATGTCAGGGGTGCCTTTGGTGGCCCAAGTGCTCTGCCAGCCAAAATGGGTTTCCAAGCTCCGTTTCCAGCTGTGATGACCTCCTGCAACCCTTTGCTAGCAAAACTAGAACTCCATTTCCTCTGGCAGAGGTATTGCAGGCTGATCCTTTGCTGTTTCCAAGGCAGCCCCAAGGGCCAGATCTAAGCACCCCATGATCCGGATCCGGATCCGGCCTCCAGGCCTTGAGTTTGACACCCCTACTTGGGCCTTGAGTTTGACACCCCTTAAATTTGGGTGTATCCTGGAGGTAAAGAGAACTATTTTATTTGCTTGTTTGTAAATTAAAGAATTGAGTTTTGGACTGCTGCTACTGAAATGCTTGTGTGAAATAACAGTCTGGTTTGGCGACACTGCTTCTGGTGGATTTAATGACATTCAACACTAAAAAAAAGAGGGTACTTTGGTCAAACAGTTTAAGAGCCACTGTCCTAGGAGATGTGTTTGACTCAAGGGCATGAGTAGCTGCAATTTTCTATGAAGAAGGAGATCTCTTAGACAGTTTTGTAAAATGGCTACAAAAAGAGATAAAAATATCAGCAAATAACACATCCAGAATAAAAGTAGTAGCAAAAAACAAAATGCATCATTTAAGCAAAAATGTAGAGGTTAATCTCACACTTAAAGATTACAATGTGGGTATCAGGCAAACCTTTCTGAAGATAGCATTCCACACTTGGAAAGACCTTTTCTGAAGTAGGCACCCTCTTGCTTCCTTTTGTTGTGGCATCTTAAGGTCCCAGAACATGGGAACACATATTCCTTGAAATCCTTAAATTCATTTCATCTTTCAACCATATATTCATTTTGAAAATAGTTTAGACCTCTGGATTCAGCGAGTAGATAAATTCTTCCATCACAAATAACCAATCCATGTTACATCTTTTCTCTTGTAAATAGCTGCATGAGGTGGATGAAGAAATAGCAAGTGGCTAAACAGGAACTATTACAGGATGACCACCTGAGGTACACTGGGAAATCTTCCCACTGTTTATAAGAACAAGATTATTGCACTATGTTATCTCTCTTCCTCAGATGTACATTTTCTGAGTCAGCACTCATTGTATTTTCCAGACTGCCCATGACAGGTTGGGAAGGGGCGGGGGAAGCTGTCATATGTTTCCAGATACTGACCTTAGTCAGCGAATGGCTTTTCAGCAGAACAACAAGTTCAGCTACACTTGTAAAATAGCCAGTGGCTATTTAGCATCCTTGACACTTAAAGTGGTAAAAAAGGAAATAAAGAAGGAGAAGAAGCTGTTAGCAACTCATGAGGAAAAAAAAACCATATTGGAAGTCTCCAAAGGGTGAAATAGCATCACACTGCTTTACCAACATTGGAGGAAGAGGAGCAATTTGCCTGAAGCTCTCAGCCCTTTGGTATTACTAACGATGGCATTCCATAGTAGAACTGTGTCCTTTTTCTTCTCAATCTGGATGGCAAATTTCATGGCACAACGTACAATTCTTCTGAAAGGTATGTTACCATAAACTGCTAGTTTTTCAACATATTCTGTCTTGTACCAAGGAGGGGTATATTTTAAACAAAAAATGCAATATTATAAGGTAGAGAAGGGAACACAGTTATTTCCAGGAACAGCAGTGTTGGTCTTTTGTTGGTTTGTTTATTTATTTTTATTTATTTATTTGTTTGTTTATAGCATGAAACGTTAAATAAAACTTAGGGCACCTTAAAGTCTAAGGAAAGTTTAATGGCCAAAGCTCCAGCAAAGTTGTAGCAAATGATCCTCAATCTGTTCAGATGACGAAGATCACAAGTCATTTTTTGTTTCTCAAATTGATAAATCGCAGTTAGGAAGAAGATGCTGTGCAAACAAGCAAAGCATAGTTGCAATGTGCAGAATGAATTTTATTTAATTCATGTAATTTTTGCTGATTCAAAAGGCTGGTTGGTATAGTGTTTCCTTTCTAACAAAAATATGTCCGTTTAAGATAAGGATGGAATTTTCATGGACTAGAGCTAATTTTGTCATGTGGTTGAAGGAATGTGGTAAATTAGGAGGCATAGAGGGGAGAGGAGGCATGGATAGAGTGTCAAACAAAAACATTCTGAAAAAAAACTTTCTGCCCTAAGCACTTCCCAAATAATAACATACCATATTACAAAAACAAGTACTTTGGATATTTAGAATGTGCGTTCTGCTAAGTGATACATCGTAGTTCCATCCTATAGTGAAATGAAAAATACGTATATATACAGAATGCTAAGGGTGAGAACAGTAAGGACCTTTTTGGATGTTTTGGTTTTGTATAGGAAGTATTAGCAACTTACTTTTAAAAAGAATGCTTCTTGCATTAAAAAGTCTGCTTCTTCTTACATTCAGAATTTGTCTCAATCATCACACTTTTTGATCTATTCTTGTGGGATACATTTAGTGCTGGTATTTTGAGGGGTGGTTTTAGTTTATAGGTATCACCGCTGTTGTGAATGCCTTTGTGTTAAGATATTTAAGTATTAGAAAGCCTAAACTCATTATTATTTTCTTGCTGTCAGCAAATTCCATTGGTTCCACCACAAAACCGCGCTCAACTAAACCGCGTCCGACTAAACCGCATCGCTGACGTCAACAGGGCGACAACAGCGTGGAGACAGAAGCACGCTGTAAACCCTAAACCTAAAATTAACCCCTAAACCTAAACCTAATCCCCCTAAACCTAATCCTAAACCTAACCCTAAACCTAACCCTTAACCTAACCCTAACCCTAACCCTAACCCTTAACCTAACCCTAAACTAACCCTAACCCTTAACCTAACTCTAAAGCTAACCCTAAAGCTAACCCTTACCTTAAGTTGAATCGGCTTGCTTTCAAAGCGCTATTTAAAGCGCCCTTCTTTCTCCACGCTGGCTGTTGTCGCCCTGTTGATAACGTCAGCGACGCGGTTTAATCGGGCGCGGTTTAGTCGAGCGCGGTTTTGACGGGTCACAAATTCCATTTAGTCATATTTTGTAATGCAAATAAATATATAAATATTAAATATCCATTAGTAATCATTTTGATATCTTTCTGCTTATTTGCAGATATTCGGATGTCAAACTGCAGAATTGTGGGTGTAACACTTGTTGTAGATACGGCTAATATTAATTTTAATTTTGCTGAAGCAGAACCAGTTTGCAGGCAGCTGGGATTAATGCTAGCACACAAATCCAAGATTGAAGCTGCTTTGAAACATGGCTTTGAAACTTGCAGGTACAAAAAATCTTTCCAACATTTACTTATAAATGTTTTATGCTAACATATGTACAGATAACCTTTTTAATGCCATTTTAAAAATAAAATATCATTATTATTACTTAAGAAATAAATCAAGATTAGAAGCAAGAAACAATTAAAAATTAAATAGCCCCTCTTATTCTTAAAGCAGAAAAAGGTGATTATTTATTCCCAAATTAAATTTATTCCCTTTTTTCTCCACAGGATCATATGCATAGAACCATTATGTATATTACTTATATATAAATACAAATGAGTGTGGCTTCATATTAGCGCTTGAAGTTCACTTAAATGTATACCTAATAATGTGCAACTTTTGCTTCCTTGACACTTGAAACAGAAACTGTCTATGCCAGGGTTGTCAAACTCCCGGCCCTCAGGCCAGATGCATCATGTGCTGCCCATGCCCAGTTTAGGGAAGGCGGGTAAAGTCCCAATATGTCATGTGACGCTGCTGTGACGACGTGAGTTTGGCACCCCTGGTCTATGCCTATCACAAACCTTTTGAATTTTTCCTCAGTTTCCCAAAGGATGAATAATCCTGGGTCATTGGGGGTTATTTTCATAGCACCTAACCTGAACATTTTTGATTTTTTTTAAATTTTTGCACAAATGATTCAAGCTGTGGATTACACTTGGCATTTGAGTAGAGTGACCCCATGCAAACTCCCCCAAATGAAAATCAATTGTCAAGACAAAAAGAAACATCTATTGACTTTAATTTAAATTAAATTAAAGTTAATAGCACTAATTATTTACCATGTATTTCATAGCTTTCCCCTTTTGAAACATTAGAACAGTGGTAGTCAACCTGGTCCCTACTGCCCATTAATGGGCGTTCCAGCTTTCATGGTGGGCGGTAGGGGTTTGCTGTTACTTCCCTACTTTATAAATCACTATTACTGTGGAACCGGTGGGCGATTAGAAAATTTTACTACTAACAGAGATATAAAAGTGGGTGGTAGGTATAAAAAGGTTGACTACCCCTGCATTAGAACCTATAACTTTTGGAGAGACTATGAAGAC